GTCTCTTTGTTTGATGTGAGTTTACCTGCAGAGAAAGGCATGAAGGCCTCTGGTTTGACAAACTCTCCCTGCTCGTTCAGGAAGTTCTCAGGATTGAACTCGTGAGGGAACTTCCACTGACCCTCCTCCCTCAGCACTGACTCCATGTTCTGGATGACCATGGTACCCTGAAGGGAAACCAAAGGGACAGATAAAATCATGAAGGTGGCATGATTTCTTTAATATTGTACTGTATATATTGTCCAAACTCTTAAGTTTCTCACCTTGGGAATGTCATATCCCATCAGCTCTGTGTCTTTAGTGGAGCAGTGGAAGGCACTGAGAGGAACAGTGTTGGCAACCCTCTGGACTTCATGGATTACAGCCTGGATTACAACAGACAGATTACAAACTGTCTTTGAACCAATTATTTTAGGCATCATTTAGAAAGAAATCTCAGAAAAGTTGCAGTTTAGCTGATAGAAACACATTCAGACATGCCTCTCAGATTAACCATTCAGATTAACAGAACAGGTGTGTGATGATGCTCATCACCTGCACGTAAGACATGTTGTGTCTGTCCTCAAAACTGACCCGATCCCTTCCATCCAGAACCCGATCGATCTCCTGCTGACATCGATCTGAGGACACAGAAACTGTTTTATACATTTTAATTTACTCTTATTTTTGGTCTAAAATGGTAATTTCCAAACAAGTTCAGTCTGTGTTAACCTGCCAACCTAATATTTTAATATAATTTTAGGTTTTGGTGCCATCATAATCAATGGCACCAAGTTAAAACCTTCCTTTTTTCCCTCTGTGTTGATCTGAAAGATGAGACAAATCCTGAAGGTGTACCTTGGACCTGAGGATGGTTCATGAGGTACAGAAACCCAGTCAGGAGGGTGTTGGAGGTGGTGTCAGTTCCAGCAATATAAAGATCAAAAGTGATCCTTCTGAGCTGTTCTTCAGAAAATGAGAAATCTTCTCTCTGGACAGAATACAGAGAATATTGTAGGAAGAACAAAATGTAAGATTTGTGATAATGCTGAGTCAGCATCCAGATGTTTTCCTGGTTTTAGTTTTTCTGTACCTGTCTCATTCATCAGCATCATGATGTTTAAGTTTTATATTGTGTTCACACCTGTTTATCCAGTTCATCCAGGTAGCAGTCCACAAAGTCTCGAGGTTCTCCAGGGGTCCTGGTCCTCTTGTGCTCGTTCATCAAAGTGTTTGAAAAGTCAAGGTACAGCTAAATCACATATCATTTTTTAAACATATGCAGACATGATGTTGTTAGTTTATTGTGCCTAAGCTGTATAAAAATTACCTCCATGTTCTTAAAGGCCTTTTTAAAGGGCAGCGGCAGGTAGGAAACATATGGAACTGAGTCGTACAGCTGAAAGATGAATTATTACAGAACAAATTAAATTGTGGTTTGTTTCTGTGCATGACCTGCTCTTCTTACACCTGAATAAGAAGAGTCAAAACTAGAAGAGTTCCTGGAGAAACTTTAATGAGGCCTGCCTCATGGTGCAACATAACCTTTGGTATTTTTTGGCTACCAAATTTCAGATCATACTTAAACAAACAGTATGTAGACAGCTGAGATTAATAGGACAGAAAGCAGGTGTTGTTGGGCCTGCTTTATGAGAAGATTGGAGACAGCCTAGATAAATGGGACAGGAAACAGGTGTGAGGGGGCATGGTTGATTGAAGACCAAAATAAACTTATCCTAATGTAATAAACAGGTGTGACTGAGACTTGATGTTAACAATAACTGTTTCTGGCCTACTTAGACTCACCATGGCCCACGGTCCGTTAAATATTTTTGTCATCTCTGTGAACCATCGAACAACCTTTTTGATGGTTTCATCTTCGTACTCATAACGGGTCCCAAACAGAACCTTGCAGATGATGTTGGAGGCTGCGTTATGGAACATGACCCGAGGACTCAGAGTTTTACCTGTACACAGATTTAAATACAGAACATCACACCAACAGCACAACCAAAAGCTTTAAGTATTTTCAGATGGATTAAGCACCAATGCTCTTTTCCAGTGTTTTAACGGTGAACTGAATCTCTTCATGAATTCTCTCCTCCATGGATTTCTTCCCCAGACCAAAATTTTTCAGAGTCATCAATGCAAAACGACGATGTTCCCTCCAAACAGGCCCATAATCGACAAAAGTAATTCCTGCAACAAGCAGAGTCACAAAACAAAGAGCTTTTACCTGCTGCAGCTAATTAACTTAACTACAGAATTCTCTTGCAGGTGTTTCTTAACAAGTCTTCATATCCATATCTGCATCCACTGCTGTATGTTCACTAAATCTGATCATTAATTAATATATTTTAGTGCACTCTTTGTTTGTATTGTTGTTTGTTCTGACGCAGAGATGTGAGCATGCCATGCTGTACCGGAAGCAAATTCCACCAATTTGTTGTGTGGTCATTTATAATGAATCTGAATACGTTTACAGCCTTTTCTTGTTTCTGGTACAACTTTGTCAAGATGTATTCCCAACCAGCACACGTAAGGGGGCCCCATATGGGATAAATAAGGGCAAGTAACGGGTAATATCCAAATTAGTTTGTAGCCCTACATGTCTTTGCCCACCTTGACTTTAATGAGTCATGACTGGGTTTTTGTATCATTATTCTCCGACGGCTACAAGCTGTGGTGGACAAGCAGCTCAGGGAGAAGCAAGCTGACTTTAGATGTGGTCGATCATGCATAGAGCAAATCTTTGTCCTGCAGACCATCATTGAGCAGAGCCCGGAATATCCATAATGGCTATCGGTCAGCTTCGTAGACTTCACCAAAGCTTTCGACAGTGTCCATAGGGAGTCGCTTTGGAAAATTGCGAGGTTGTATGGAATTCTCAAACAGTTTGTCCAAGTTTTCCGAAACTTCTACCTCAACTCGAGATGCTGCGTACGAACAGAGGAAGAAACAACAAAATTCTTCGCCATTGAGACCGGCGTGCGGCAGGGGTGTATACTTTCCCCCTTCCTATTCCTCCTGGTCATTGACTATATTCTGTGCAGGACCATGGATCGAGCAGATTTCTGAATAACTTGGCCCGAATCGGTCCGAATTATGGATAGACTTTGCAGATGACATTGCGCTTCTTGAGGCAACAAACAAGAGCATCATTGACATGACCCAGAGCCTTGATGGAGGATCAAACAAGGTCGGACTCCGGATTAACATCAAGAAGATCAAGATCATGCAAACCGGGTACGCCATGGCTGGCACCCCCACCACTATCGGACCACACCAGATTGAAGGAGTGCAAAGGCTCACTTATCTGGGCAGCATTATAACCAACGATGCTGATGCAGAACACGATGTGGCGTGCTGGATTGGGCAGGTGGGAGCTGTTTTTCAGCAGCTCCGACCAATTTGGGTGTCTTCGACCATCAGCATAGCGATAAAGATCTGCCTTTTTAACTTGACTGTCATCCTAACAGCCATATACGCATGTGAAACATGAAAGACGTCTTCAGAGATTGAAAGAAGACTGAACATTGCCCAGCAGCGGTGGTTACTATGGATCATGCGGGTCTCATACTGGAACCACATCACTTAACAACAAGATCCATTGCAGAACAGCCACCTGTCCACTGAACAACACTGTGACAGAGCACCGACTAAGATTTGCTGGACATGTCCTCTGTCAGAAAACTACATGTCTACTAAAAACCACCATGGGGGAAGCAGAAACGAGGGCGTCCCCAACACAATTGGCGCTGTACATTCCACGAAGACCTCAAGGCCCTATATTAGCCAAGACTAGGGTGATCGCAAGAGATCGACCCCAATGGATACATCTTGTCACCCAGTGTGCCAGGTTTTCAGAAGGACCCAGATAGTTTACTTGCATAAGGCCCATCTATGGCCCATCTGTGTGTGGAGTCTCAACTAAGTTAGAATCTGGGTAACAAGTGGATGTGTCTGCAGGTTCCATGGTGGCCCTACAGAGGCTTTCCCACAAACTTCATCAGGCCATGAATGTGTTTTCAGTGGGACCTAGCTAACTGACTTACACGAGAGACATTTATGGCCAATCTGTGTGCTTTAAGGAACAAACAACTGGGCCATAATAGAGTTTCAACTGGGCTAGAATATGGGTAACATTTGGGTTTGTCCGCGGGTTCCATGGTGACTGTACAGTGGTTTACCCACATAGAAATTTCAACTGCAACTTAAAAGTTCAAGGCAATAAACTTTTAAATACATTTTAAATGAGCTGTCATAAAACTTCAAACTACCTTTACATTTAAAAAATTGTACGTTTTGGTTTTATTATTTTTTATACATGTATTATATTTCAGTGTGAATAATTACGTTTAAACAATATCCAAACTTTGTCAAACTTGTGTTTGACTGCTTTTTCATCTAAACTGATCTTTAGCCCAATGAATGCTCCTAATACAGTTTTGTAATATTCCCTACCTTTACACTGAAATACATCACCAATTAACGTGTCTTGAAGTCGACCAGCGTAGTCTGTAGCTTTATCCAACATGGCCTCCTTCATGGCCTTCAACCCATTGATGACCACAGCTGGTCTGGTACCAAGGAACAGACTGTAGACATTTCCATAGGTCTGTCTGAGCTGCAAGAAAACCAAACAAACAAAAAACACATCAATTTCTAAAGAAATGTATTTTATTCTGATCTGTTCTGAGGGAAATTAAACAGCAGCGTTAATTATTTCCTGTTTTTCATTGTGGTAGTCAATTTAAATTAACAGTTGATCATAAAAGTGAAAAAAATAGTCCAACTTATTCAGCAAATTGCATCACATTTGGGGTCAAAGGTCAAATGACTGCAGACTCTTTGTACAAAGATTTTCTGGGTGTGATTCTAAAAACAGCCAAAGTTCAAACAAAACACTTAAATGACCTTCAGACAACACAAACAACTCATGACCAAAAACACTTGTAAGGCACATTTGATAAAAATGAGAGATTCATTTAACCAATAATTTAATTTTAATTTTCTGCATTTTGACAATTACTTTTTAATAATTTCACTGCAAACAATAAAAATAAATAAACTGAGGGACAGTCCATTTTTTAAGTCAACAAAAAATCAAAAGGTTATCAGTGCAAATAAAACCAAATGTTCTGAATTCACTGCAGTTTTTGTGCAGCTACCATAAAAAACGTTACAATTAATATTTTCTAAAAAACATTATTAATTCATAGATAAATGTTAATTGATCCACACTGCATACTTCTCTTAGTGCTGCAGCAGAGAAACTGGTGCCTTCTAACTCAAAATATAAACACTATAATATATATCTATTTTTGCTGACTGAAAAAAGGTAAATAAAGTTTACCTGTAATTCAGAATAAAAATGAACTCTGTCCTCATTTTGTCAGCATTTGAGTAAAATTAAATGATAAAAACATCTAATTTTATTTAACATTTTAAAAAATTAAATAATTTTGTATCTTTACCTTCTCAAGTTCCTTCAGGGGGTTCTTTGAGGCCAGGTGCAAGAAGTTCCCCAGTACCGGAGAGATGGGGGG